GCCCCATCGTTGGTGTCAGTGGGAGGAGTAGTGCCCCATCGTTGGTGTCAGTGGGAGGAGTAGTGCCCCATCGTTGGTGTCAGTGGGAGGAGTAGTGCCCCATCGTTGGTGTCAGTGGGAGGAGTAGTGCCCCATCGTTGGTGTCAGTGGGAGGAGTATCGTTGGTGTCCCCATCGTTGGTGTCAGTGGGAGGAGTAGTGCCCCATCGTTGGTGTCAGTGGGAGGAGTAGTGCCCCATCGTTGGTGTCGTTGGGTGTCAGTGGGGGGAGTAGTGCTCCATCACTGGTGTCAGTGGGGGGAGTAGTGCCCCATCACTGGTGTCAGTGGGAGGAGTAGTGCTCCATCACTGGTGTCAGTGGGAGGAATAGTGCCACATCATTGGTGTCAGTGGGAGGAGTAGTGCCCCATCATTGGTGTCAGTGGGGGGGAGTAGTGCCCCATCATTGGTGTCAGTGGGGGGAGTAGTGCCCCATCACTGGTGTCAGTGGGGGGGGGGAGTAGTGCCCCATCACTGGTGTCAGTGGGAGTAGTGTCCCATCACTGGTGTCAGTGGGAGGAATAGTGCCACATCATTGGTGTCAGTGGGAGGAATAGTGCCCCATCATTGGTGTCAGTGGGAGGAATAGTGCCCCATCATTGATGTCAGTGTGGTGGAGGGGAGAATAGTGCCCCATCATTGGGGTCGGGGGGGGGGGGGGGGGGAAATAGTGTCCCATCGTTGGTGTCAGTGGGGGGAGGAATAGTGCCCCATCATTGGTGTCAGTGGGAGGAATAGTGCCCCATCGTTGATGTCAGTGTGGTGGAGGGGAGAATAGTGCCCCATCGTTGGTGTCAGTGGGGGGAGGAATAGTGCCCCATCGTTGGTGTCAGTGGGGGGAGGAATAGTGCCCCATCGTTGGTGTCAGTGGGGGGAGGAATAGTGTGCCCCATCGTTGGTGTCAGTGGGGGGAGGAATAGTGCCCCATCGTTGTGTGTCAGTGGGGGGAGGAATAGTGCCCCATCGTTGGTGTCAGTGGGGGGAGGAATAGTGCCCCATCGTTGGTGTCAGTGGGGGGAGGAATAGTGCCCCATCGTTGGTGTCAGTGGGGGGAGGAATAGTGCCCCATCGTTGGTTTCAGTGGGGGGAGGAATAGTGCCCCATCGTTGGTTTCAGTGGGGGGAGGAATAGTGCCCCATCGTTGGTGTCAGTGGGGGGAGGAATAGTGCCCCATCGTTGGTGTCAGTGGGGGGAGGAATAGTGCCCCATCGTTGGTGTCAGTGGGGGGAGGAATAGTGCCCCATCATTGGTGTCAGTGGGAGGAATAGTGCCCCATCATTGATGTCAGTGTGGTGGAGGGGAGAATAGTGCCCCATCATTGGGGTCAGGGGGGGGGGAAATAGTGCCCCATCGTTGGTGTCAGTGGGGGGAGGAATAGTGCCCCATCGTTGGTGTCAGTGGGGGGAGGAATAGTGCCCCATCGTTGGTGTCAGTGGGGGGAGGAATAGTGCCCCATCGTTGGTGTCAGTGGGGGGAGGAATAGTGCCCCATCGTTGGTGTCAGTGGGGGGAGGAATAGTGCCCCATCGTTGGTGTCAGTGGGGGGAGGAATAGTGCCCCATCGTTGGTGTCAGTGGGGGGAGGAATAGTGCCCCATCGTTGGTGTCAGTGTCAGGGGGGGAGGAATAGTGCCCCATCGTTGGTATTAGTGACACAAATGATGGGGCACTATTCCTCCCACTGACACCAATGATACTTACTTTGCTGACCCCTGTTCCAGCCTGGGCTCGCTCTCTCACTTACCTGTCAGCTGTCTTCCTTCTCTGGCCGCTCTCCTCTTCACTCGCTCCGGCAGCTCCCTCGGTCTTCTTTGATGTACGCGCGCTGCCGCTCGGCTCCTCCTCTCCAAGCTCCACCTCCTCGCCGGTGATTGGCCGCCTGTGTGCCTCTCCTGAGCTACAGTTCCGGTGGCCAATCAGCGGCGAGGAGGCGGAGCTGCTGAGCGATCCCGGAGGTGTGGCCAGGTGACAGGAACAGCGTATCATCCCGCCCCACACATCGCCGGAGACAGCAGCGGTGTCTCGGTTCCTAAGACCATCGGAAATATGTGTTTTCCGATGGTCTTAGGCGACCCCTGGGAAATGGTCGTTCGACCCCCAGGTTGAGAACCGCTGCTATAGATGGATCCTTGGCTGCTGTAGGCAACTCATCAGCTCAAGAGGGCTTCAGCTGACCTCTACTTCTACCTGGAGCTTAGCTATGTAAAGGTATAAAGTTGGGGCACCGATTGATGATGTCATTGTAGTGGGAACAGCCAACCAGTCACTCGTTCCAGAAAGCAACCAGTCAAGACCTCAACCTACAGTAAAGTTGTGAATGATGGAGATGGTAAAAACGGCACCTTTGCTTTAGGTCAAGCTGTGCCTTCAGTGAAGGACTGTTCTCCAATGTTCTGCCTCTCACAAAGTTGCCTTCAGTGTTAAGAGCTTCTCGCGCTAAGGCGTCTCGGTTCGATGACTTTTCTGATGGCCAACCAGAGACGACTTCCAGTTAAAGCTCTTGTCGCAGTCTGAACATGAGAAGAGCTTCTTTCCCGTGTGAACTCTCTGATGCCGAACGAGGCCCGACTTCTGCGTGAAGGACTTGCCGCATTCTGAACACACGTGTGGCTTCTCCTTGGCATGCGTCTTCCGGTGTTTGACCATATTTGACTTGTATATAAAACCCTTCCCACAGTCCGGGCAGGAGAAGAGGTTGTTGGTGTGGATCCTCTGATGTGCGCTGAGAGAAGACTTCGTGGCAAACGTCTCCCCACACTCTGGACAAGAGTACGGCTTTTCCCCAGTGTGCCTCCTTTGATGGCTAATCAGGCGTGACTTCTGGGCAAACCGTCTACCGCATTCTGTACAGGAAAACGGCTTCTCTCCCGTGTGGATGGTCTGATGAATGAGCAGGTTGGTCTTTTGGGCGAAGCACTTTCCGCACTCTGAACACTTGTAAGGTTTCTGCTCCATGTGTGTCTTCTGATGGATGACCATGGTGGACTTCGTAGCAAAGCACTTCCCGCACTGGGGACAGGCGAATGGTTTCTCGCCTGTGTGGGTCTTCTGGTGGCCGAGAAGAGTTGACTTGGATGCAAAGCATTTCCCGCAGTCAGAGCAGGAGTATGGTTTCTCTTGCATGTACATTCGCTGGTGTTTGATGAGTGAGAACTTCTGCCGAAAAGACTTCCCGCAATCGGAGCATGAAAATGCTTTCACACCACGATGGGAGCTCTGATGGTGGACCAGGGAAGCTTTCTGGGTGAAGCATTTCCCACACTCTTGGCATGAGTATGGCTTTAACCCCGTGTGAATTCTTTGGTGAACAACAAGGTGGACCTTCTGCACGAAGCATTTGCCACACTCTAAACATGAATACGGCCTCTCCAGTTTGTGCGACCGCATATGCTTCAGCAGTGGAACTCTTCGGACAAAACGTTTTCCGCATACAGTACACGAAATAGATTTCACACCTTTGCGATTTCCCTGAAAAAATAAACAAAAAAGGTTTCAGGGTAAAGCACTTCCCTGTTTAAGTCCTACGCCGAAGCTTGTGGTAACCTGAACCAAAAGCAGGATCTGGACGGGAAATCATGCAAGGGTTCTGACAGCGAGAAGAAACACGAAAGGTGCCTCAAAGCTGAACTTCCAGGACTTCAGCCGCCTTGTAAAATGTGCAGGCATAGTATGAGTTAAGTCCAACGAGGTGCATGTCACTTTGTGGACTTATCTCTTTAATTTACATCTGACAGATTTATTGAGCTCTGGGAGCACAGCTATCCCTATGCTTCTGGCAACGCTGACTCTGCACATTATGGTCTCACCTCCTTCTGCTGTAGCATGCAGCTGCTGTGCCCACCCTCCCCTTCTCCTGCCCAATCACAGGGTGCTTTGTAGCATGTGTACTCATTTCCAAAATACAAAGGCTGCTGTGAATGAACAGCAGGAAGGGGGGTAGAGATGCTGTGTGTCATAAGACAGAATCTCTCCTCTCAGAGCCCTGGGAGTGTAGCAATAGCTGTACTCCTGGACCTCCAGAAAACGGTCAGATATAAATTAAATAGATAATTCCAGTAGGTAGCATGCACCTTGTTGGACTTAAACTTACAGAATCCTTGGGAGCACAGCTATCCCTATGCTTCTTGCAACTTATGAGTTAAGTCCAACGAGGTGCATGTCACCTCCTGGACTTATCGCTTTAATTTACATCTGACAGATTTATTGAGCTGCCAGAAAAAGGGTTTAAAAGCCGGGAGTTTAAAGTGGGATCGATCAGGAGCCTTCCTGTGCAAACGAGGACACTCCGAGGCTGGGACTCTTGCCAAGGCTATATGGGCTCATTGATTGGTCACGCTTACGGCTTCCCCGTGACCCCCTGTGCATTATGGTTCCGATAGGGTCTGTTCCTTCTCGTCTTCCCATAGCTTTGGTAATGTATTAGTTCTAAGCTGTGACGCTGTCAAAATATGTATCTATTTCATGCTGTAATGCTCATTATTATTGGTGTGTGTTATTATGCAGATTGTGATGACTATAATATATATCCTCCTGTGTGTCGTATGATAATAAAAAGTGGAGGTTTTGACAGTGCAAGAATATTGCGGTTGCAGTCTGTTAGATCTTGTAGTGCGGAGTGAATGATACATGATGTGCCGGGGCAGGTGTTCATTTGGTAGAGGGCCTTTCGCAGGCTTAGAATAATTAATGGTGTAAATGCTGGTTAAACGTACCTGTGTGTGTAATTGTGTGTATATGACTTGCTTTTAGTTATTGCATCCAGCATTGCATTCCACACCCACACGTGCCAATCATACTAGCAGCACAGGGACCGGACAGGAACTGCCCTGTGTATTGAAGGGAAAGTCCGCTGTAGCTGGGCTAGCAGGATGAAGCAAGTCCCTACTAACCAGAGGTGGGTAGGAGATCGGTCGCTCGCACATCCTGTTCCTGTTTATCGTGTAACTTTAGTTTTGAGCCCGAAGTTCAATAAACATAGAATTCTTCACTTCTATCACGTACCGGCTGCACATTAGGGGTGATTTCTCCCAGAGCAACCGCTGTGATGTCATCATCTTTCATATCACCATCAGAAGAGACAATTGAACATTCTGCCAGGTTACTTTTGGTGTGTTGGCCTTGTGGAAGAAACCATAAACAGGAATGGGGGAGGAAAAAAAAAGAAGAAGAGTAGAATCTGTTTGTTCAATCAAATCAGTAACAATGTAATAGCCTTACAGTAATTTTATAATCCACATTTTTTTTTGTCTTGGGTAAAAAATACATTTATGGGGGAGGGTGGGGTTGTGGCTGCAGATGGACTCGCTCAGGTGCTGATCTGGTAATCTCGTGTAATAATGGATGTATACCAGCTTGATCCTATAGCATGGGTGCATTGAGCCACACACAGGCTTCCTCTGCCACCAGAGAAGATGCGGCACTTTTGAGGCATCCTCTCAAATGTGGCCGACAACTGCAGCCATGATGGGGCCCACATGCCACGCAGGTGTGCCTGGCCTGTCCCGCGCATGGCATGTTTTCCCCACCAGCAGCAACAATGACTGGCGAACCCCCTCACCACCCAACATTCCTATTTTTTACCCTATAAGAACTGTTGGCAACATCCATAAGCAGGTCAATAAGCCCAGTGGCCTCCCCCCGCAGCCAGACACACAAGCAGAAAAAGATAACAGATGCAAAGTGCCGTTCCCATTTGCTTCCGACTCCTTTCTCAGACCAACTTTCACTTCTTCAGAGGAATTAAGTTGGGGTGAGTGGCGGACTTCGGCAGTTTGGCCTCTTGACCAACCTGTAAGGAGAGCCGGAGTCTAATAGAGGATGATGGCTCCTGACCCCCCCACTGGGCACATCCTGTTTCCCTATTACTGTCTACTGACAGAGGAGGGGGGAGAAGAAGAGATGGTTGTAGTGACTGAACAAGGAGGATCTGGGACTCTTCTCTGGATTTAGTGTTTATTCCTGACCTGGGCTGATCTCTGGAAGGATCTCCTCCTCCTTACATGGCTCATAGCTAGAGTCTAATAGAGGCTGATGGCTCCTGACCCCCCCACTGGGCACATTCTGTTTCCCCATTACTGTCTACTGACAGAGGAGGGGGAAGAAGAAGAGATTGTTGTAGTGACTGAACAAGGAGGATCTGGGACTCCTCTCTGGATTTAGTGTTTATTCCTCACCTGGAATAATCTCTGGAGGAATCTCCTCCTCCTTACATGGCTTGTCTCCCTTTGCGGTCTCTTCACCTTCTTCATCTTTGACTTCAACTTTGACAGTAATCAGATTTTCATCCTGAATAAAGCAAAGCCATAGATATAAGTAGTGTTTGAACATCACCAATGATAGAAAAAAATAATATTGTGTTATCTAAAGTTACACAGGATATTTAACAAAAAAATAGCAGTATGACAAGTGCAATATGGCTCACACAGAGTGGTTATTAGAAAATCTAAGCGGAGTAATATAATTAGTAATTACAAAAAAGTTTTATTCGATCACATGGATCATACGGAGGTTAGACAGAGACATGGTAAACAAGTCATTATAAAATCACTAAATTAAAAACATTCGGCGTCTCCAGATCTAATAGTTATACGGCAATCAGGAAACCACATAAGGCAATGAAGTTCCTAACTACTTGATCAAAGAATTTTCATATTTTCCATACGGTATCTGCATAGGGAGAACATTCTTCAAAAAATTGTTTTGGTAACCACCACAGTAAATGGAATGACCTCCTGAAATGGAAAACCAGAAAAGAAAGAATCATAGTAGAGGGAACAAAAATAGGATATATGCACTAACCATATGCAATAACAGAACAACCCCATAACAGGTATATATGTTATTCTATTACCTTCTCATAAACTTGACCATCATGAAAGGATGGATATATGGCCTTCCTGGGTAACCACCCCAAATGGAAATGTATCCACAGTAGTAAATGATTCTAAAAGTGTATAAATATGAGACATAAATATCAAGCTACCAGCAAACCTGAATGGGACTAAAATAAGGGTAAAAATCTTTGAATATTAACATACAAAAGATCAAGGGGACTCCTCCTCACTTGAAGTAAGATCAGGTCTGGCTGAAAAAGTGAATATGGGGGTGGGAAGCCAGGTGGTTAATATATAGAGTCCAGACTGGTTGATACAGTCTAAGTATATTTAAATATATAGATCTAAATCTGGGTTTTCAAAAATTGCTCAATAATGAGAAAAGTAGTGCGATTCCTTAAAAATATGAGACTGTTTTTGCATGCCACAACACATATAAAGCGTATTGTATACGTATTCCTCCAATAGGAGTTCAAAAAATTCCCCAAAAAAATGAGGTAAATAGGCACAGGATTTCCAAAATATGAGGGTATATTACCCGTATATATATAAATAGCACTGAAGCCTAATTTAACTACTGTTCTGACGAAGTCTGCGGTGATGGGCGGACAAAACACGTCAACGTGATGACATCATTACGCTCGGCGACTCCATAGGGCGCGGTACCCACGAGGAAGGAAGAAGCGGTTTGCTTCAGCTCCACATTGGAAAGGCAGGAGACACTCAAATTATGATGAGGACATCATCTTAAGCAGCCCGCACATGGCAATTCTGAGTCACAGCCTACTTCCACCGGTGGCAAGTTTGTAGCCGTTTCGGCTAAATTAGGCTTCAGTGCTATTTATATATACGGGTAATATACCTTCATATTTTGGAAATCCTGTGCCTATTTACCTCATTTTTTGGGGGGAATTTTTTGAACTCCTATTGGAGGAATACGTATACAATACACTTTATATGTGTTGTGGCATGCAAAAACAGTCTCATATATATATTTTTAAGGAATCGCACTACTTTCTCATTATTGAGCAATTTTTGGAAACCCAGATTTGGGTCTATATATTTAAATATACTTAGACTGTATCAACCAGTCTGGACTCTATATTAACCACCTGGCTTCCCACCCCCATATTCACTTTTTTATCCAGACCTGATCTTACTTCAAGTGAGGAGGAGTCCCCTTGATCTTTTGTATGTTAATATTCGAAGATTTTTACCCTTATTTTAGTCCCATTCAGGTTTGCTGGTAGCTTGATATTTATGTCTCATATTTATACACTTTTAGAATCATTTACTACTGTGGATACATTTCCATTTGATGTGGTTACCCAGGAAGGCCATATATCCATCCTTTCATGATGGTCAAGTTTATGAGAAGGTAATAGAATAACATATATACCTGTTATGGGGTTGTTCTGTTATTGCATATGGTTAGTGCATATATCCTATTTTTGTTCCCTCTACTATGATTCTTTCTTTTCTGGTTTTCCATTTCAGGAGGTCATTCCATTTACTGTGGTGGTTACCAAAACAATTTTTTGAAGAATGTTCTCCCTATGCAGATACCGTATGGAAAATATGAAAATTCTTTGATCAAGTAGTTAGGAACTTCATTGCCTTATGTGGTTTCCTGATTGCCGTATAACTATTAGATCTGGAGAGGCCGAATGTTTTTAATTTAGTGATTTTATAATGACTTGTTTACCATGTCTCTGTCTAACCTCCGCATGATCCATGTGATCGAATAAAACTTTTTTGTAATTACTAATTATATTACTCCGCTTGGATTTTCTAATAACCACTCTGTGTGAGCAGTATTGCACTTGTCATACTGCTATTTTTTTGTTAAGTATATCGGGTTTATAAATCCACACTAATTATTAGTGAGATGGAGATATTTATATGACACATATTTACGTGTCATGTTAGGTGGCTATTCCCCTTTTTTGTCCAATTACACAGGATATTGTCTTTGGACAGGCCTCATGTAATGAAGACTCCTTGTGTTATTTCACGACCCCTCAGATCCACCTACCTGATACTCATCTGAGGTGGTCTGATCTTCTAGCATGGAGTCCTGAGAAGAAATAGGACTGGGACATCTCTCTGGTGTGTTTCTGTTGTTGGATCCAGCTGTAGGAAACACAAAGAGCCACAAATGTATGATCATATAACTTCCAGGATGTCTGTATCCAGAACCATGAAAAACACAGAATAAGGAAATCAGTGGTCGGTTGCAAGTTATCAAAACTCTCTTTGGCCTTGGTGGCCATTGTGTCTTGTCTTCGGGACTAAAAGTGATGGCAATCATTACAATTGTCGCCAGCACAGTCAGTGAGGAGAAATAGGGACACCTGTTACTGTTGTAACTGATGTGATATGAGGAGGAGAGCCAGAGTATATTAGAGGCTGACTGACTACACCACTGGGCACATACTGTCTCCCCATGAAGCTGATGGCTCCACCAATGGGCACGTACTGTCTCCCCATGAAGCTGATGGCTCCACCACTGGGCACATACTGCCTCCCAATGAGGCTGATGGCTCCACCACTGGGCACATACTGCCTCCCCATGAGACTGATGGCTCCACCACTGGACACATACTGTCTCCCCATGAGGCTGATGGCTCCACCACTGGGCACATACTGCCTCCCCATGAGACTGATGGCTCCACCACTGGACACATACTGTCTCCCCATGAGGCTGATGGCTGCAACACTGGGCACACACTGTCTCCCTGTCAGGCTGATGGCTCCACTACTGGGCACATACTGTCTCCCCATGAGGCTGATGGCTCCACCATTGGGCACATAAACTGTCTCTCTGTGAGGCTGATGGCTCCCCAACTGGGCACACACTGCCTCCCCGTGAGACTGATGACTCCACCACTGGGCACACACTGTCTCCCCGTGAGGCTGATGGCTCCACCAATGGGCACGTACTCTCTCCCCATGAAGCTGATGGCTTCACCAATGGGCACATACTGTCTCCCCATGATGCTGATGGCTCCACCACTGGGCACATACTGCCTCCCAATGAGGCTGATGGCTCCACCACTGGGCACATACTGCCTCCCTGTGAGGCTGATGGCTCCACCACTGGACACATACTGTCTCCCCATGAGGCTGATGGCTCCACTACTGGGCACATCCTGTTTCCCCATTACGGTCTACTGAGAGAGGAGGGGGGAGAAGAAGAGATTGTTGTAGTGACTGAACAAGGAGAATCTGGGACTCCTCTCTGGATTTAGTGTTTATTCCTCACCTTGGCTAATCTCTGGAGGAATCTCCTCCTCCTTACATGGCTCGTCTCCCCTCGCAGTCTCTTCACCTTCTTCATCTTTGACTTCAACTTTGATAGTAATCAGATTGTCATCCTGAATAAAGCAAAGCCAGAGATATAGTGTTTGAACATCACCAATGATAGAAAAAAAATAATTTTGTGTTATCTAAAGTTACACAGGATATTGTCTTTGGAGAGGCCTCATGTAATGAAGACTCCTTATGTTTTTCCACGACCCCTCAGATCCACCTACTTGATGCTCATCTGAGGTGGTCTGATCTTCCAGCGTGGAGTCCCGAGACAAAATAGGACTGGGACATCTCTCTGGTGTGTTTCTGCTGTTGGATCCAGCTGTAGGAAACACAAAGAGCCACAAATGTATGATCATATAACCTCCAGGATGTCTGTATCCTGAACCAGGGTGGATAAAAATCAATGATTAAAAAAAAAAAAAAAAGAATCTAATTTTTTTTTATTTATATCGGATTTTTTTAAATAAAATGCTTTTTGAGGAAAATATATTACCATCCAAAGGTTATTCCATCATGAAATAAAGATTAGTTTTTTAATTATGTAGAATAAGGCTGTATATGTTTAATTTTTTTGGTAAATAAATTCCATGAATCCATTCACAATGTCATGCTCTTCCAGAGGTTTTTGTAAGATTATTGGGCAGTTTCTCTGCCTACAAGATATTATCACAGATGCTTGGTGTACTTTGCAGTTCTCAAAACTGAATTTGACTCAGCGGAGATCACATGCCTCTTCTTCACAGCAAAAATGTTATAACATGAACAGAGTTAAGAAAAAGACCTTAATCCTAACTTCTACAAACCTATGAATACAGAATCAACCCCTTCAGTGCTAAATTTCAAGAAGTTCAGTGAATAGAATAGAAACAATATTTTTCTGATTGTTTGGAGTGGAATAGATCTGCACAAGAAGAAAGTGAAACTAAGTGTGAGGAGGAAGGGGCTGACAGTCTAAGTTTCTTAAAATATATATATATTTTGTTTAGCCAAATTAGTTAACAAACATGGATGTTTGTTTAAGCAAATAACATATGCTGTAATGTTATTGTTTCAGATGAATAAATCTATTTAAATTGTTATTATTAGGTAATGATTATTTTTCTCCTTCCTAAGTTCAACAGAAAAGTTGTCCAAATATGAACGATTAACCTATTAAACTGGGGATAAAAAAACTAATATGAAAAGTTGTTATTCTAAAAATCTTCATCTACTTGCATATTAAAGTTATATACCAGCAAGAATTAGTCTTTATGTAGAAAACTAGGATTTAAATCAAGCCTTACTGACTAGTGATTTAAATCGTGATTTAAATCAGTTTGATTTAAATCAAATCCACCCTGTCCTGAACCATGAAAAACAAAGAAGAAGGAATACAGTGGTTGGTTGCAAGTTATCAAAACTCTCTATTGGCCTTGGTGACCATTGTCTTGTCTTCGGGACTGAAAGTGATGGCAATCATTACAATTGTTGGCAGCACAGTCAGTGAGGAGAAATGGGAACACCTGTGATATGAGGAGGAGAGCCGGAGTATATTAGAGTCTGACTGACTACACCACTGGGCACATACTATCTCCCCATAAGGCTGACTGACTACACCACTTGGCACATACTGTCTCCCCATGAGGCTGATGGCTGCAACACTGGGCACATACCGTCTCCCCATGAGGCTGATGGCTCCACCACTGGGCACATACTGTCTCCTCATGAGGCTGATGGCTCCCTCAACGGAACATACTGTCCACCCATTAGGCTGATACATATCAGACGTACTCTGGAGTGAGAGCAATAATTCTAGCACCAGACCTCCTCCGTCTAAACTGATGACCTATAGGGGGCTTTTGAGGTGTCACCTTTAGAAAATTTAGGGTACCAAATTTTGTGTATCTACTTACTCGGTGCAACCTTGTCTTTTATATTTTACCAAAATGTGGGTAATTTACTGCATTTGTTGGCCCTTAAATTCCGTTTAGTGTGGTTTTTTTACTGCTCTGCAGCATTTCTTAGACCTTTGCGGTAATATTGCGTAACATAGAAAAATTGGAACTACCGCTCTTTTATTCTCCAGGGTGTCTGTGTTCAGAAAATATAAAATGATTTTTAAAATGTGTGCAAAAGAAATGCAAAAAAAATGGCTCTGGCAGCGAAAGGGCTAAAAGCCTCACCAAAGCTTGCTGAATGCTCTGCAAATGCTTTGCCAAAGCTTGCTGTTCACACTGCTCTTATACAAACCAAAGCATGCGTGAAACTGGCCTTAATGACAGAGGAGGTGGGAGAAGAGATTGTTGTAGTGACTGAACAAGGAGGATCTGGGACTCTTCTTTGGATTTAGTGTTTATTCCTCACCTGGGCTGATCTCTGGAGGAATTTTCTTCTTCTTACATTGATCATTGCGCCTCAGATCCGTCTCCTCCTCTTTCACTTCAGCTTTAACAATCAGGCCCTCACTCTGTAGAAGACACAAAGCACACCATTTATTCCTCTTCAACCGCATCTGAATTGCAAGTCAAGATCGAAATGTACTCAAAACATGTCTGTAACACAGAATCAATTCTATTTTCAGAATCTGCAACTCAATGTACCTGATAGCTCCTTATGATCTCCTGACGATCCTGTGTGGAATCCCAGGAATACAGAGGACGGGGACATCTCTCTGGTGGGTTCCCATTACTGGATCCATCTGTAGGAAACACACACACTGACTGAGTACATTGTTTGTATGTCTTAAAATCAGAGGATGTGTGTATCTAGATGGATTCTCAATACTCTCCTCTCCTTTACAAGAAATTAAAGTCTCCTCTTACCCGGTGAAGGGAGGGATGGCCGGTTCTCCATCATGGTAAGTTCAGGCTTGGAAAACCATTGGGCTCTAATAATAATTAAAAAAAAAATCTAATTACAACGGATGCCTGCCATTTCTTGTGCCCTAGAGAACAGGACCAAGGAGGAAATCATCATCTATATTATCGGTTTTCCTATTCTGAAGAGGGGTCGGTAGACCAAAGTAGACTTCTCCAGGGCTTCAGTTCTTCCTGAGTGATACCAAGGTGCTCCTAGGCTTGAGAGAAGCTACATCCCCACCAGAATGTCCCGGTTTGCCATTGCGACTGCTCCTAGTTGGACGTACCGGGAACATTTCTGGCCCTATTACTCAAGCCACCTCAACTGGAACTTCCCAGATTAGAAAAAGACCATCAACTCTTCGGGAAGGCCTTTTTGGATCTCCCAACTTTTTAACCTGAACGAGCCCAGTAACCACACAGCAAAGGCTGATTTTAGCAGCTTGGTTTGTGTCCTTTTTGTTGTAGCCATCACTGAAAGTCCAATGCCATTTTTTGGAGATGCTGAACGCCTAAGTCTGATTTCAACCAAAATATTTAGTTTGGTTTTGGGTGGAGAGAAAAAGGTTAAGGTCTCTGCCAGGTTTCTACTGCCGTCTTTGTTACAATTGGTGAGATTCCCCTCACTGGGCAGGACTGCAAGGGATATACAATCTTTTCAATGTGGACAGGAAACACATCAAGGGGAATTTCTCAACACTGGAGCAGCTGTGTAAAGAGACCAATCAGCTTCTATCTTCAGCTTGTTCGGTTAGGCTCTGAAGATGAAAGCTAGAAGCTGATTGGTTAACACGCAAAACTGCTCCAGATTCTGGCTGCTGAAGTCTTAGCAAGTTCCCCTTGTCGTTAGTAGAAGGAGGAAGGGTTAGAACTTCTGACAAGGTTTCCATTGCTAACCATGCTTGGCGACAGCTGGGTCAGCGCTATGGTCTCACAAGAACAGGAAGTCAAGGGAAAAAAAAAAAAAAAGATTCCCACTGGGGCCACAGAAAGAAATAAAACCTGACCTCTTCCTAACCTAGCTGGAGTTATGCTTTGAAGCTGCAGTAAGCTTTTCATTACCATCAGCTAAATACATTCATGGTCCACCGAAACATAAGATGTTCAAAAGTCTTACAGTTGGGTTTTCTCTACAAAGCAGCCACAGCCCAAGGGGAGAAGCCTGTGCTCTGTCAGAGGCTGCAGAGAAGGACCCTTGCTCTCTGTGTGGAAACAGTGGTCTCTCTGCAGAAGTCTAACATGCTCCCCCCTTCTCAACAAAGCCCAACTTCCTGCCGACTGGGCAGCTCTAGCTCTGACTCAGCAGGGGGTGTGTTGGACCTCTCTAGAGGCCACTGCTTCCACACAAAGAGCAACGGTCCTTCTCTGCAGCTTCTGGCAGAGCACATGCTTTTCTACTCGGGCCCCCTGCTGAGTCAGCAAAACTTAAGCTGTCCACTGATTGGACAGTTCCAGCAATGACTCGGTGGAATGAGAGGTTGTTTGACCTCTTTAGAGAGGCCACTGCTTCCACACAGAAAGAACTGGTCCTTCTCCATAGCATGCTGGCAGGGCACAGGCCTTTTCATTCAAGTCCTCTACTGAGGCAACAAAACTCAATCTCCCCACTGATTGGACAGTTCTAGATTTGACTCAGCGGGGGATCTGACCTCTTTAGAGAGGCCACTGCTTCCACACAGAGAACAAGGGTCCTTCTCCACAGCATGCCGGAAGGGCACGGGCTTTTCTATTCAAGTCCCCTGCTGAGGCAGCAAAACTCAAGCTCCCTACTGATTGGACAGTTCTAGATTTGACTCAACGGGGGAGCTTGACCTCTTTAGAGAGGCCACTGCTTCCATACAGAGAACAAGCAAGGGTCCTTCTCCACAGCATGCTAGCAGGGCACAGGCTTTTCTATTCAAGTCCCCTGCTGGGGCAGCGAGACTCAAGCTCCCCACTGATTGGACAGTTCTAGATTTGATTCAAGGGGGGAACTTGACCTCTTTAGAGAGGCCACCGCTTCCACACAGAAAACAAGGGTCATTCTCCATAGCATGCTGGCAGGGCACTGGCTTTTTGGGCTGTGGCTGTTTTGAACACTTTTTATTTGATGCAGCTAAAAAGCATTAAGCTGGTGCTATGCTTCCATACTGATCTGTGTGCGGACCCCTTGCCCAATTGGGGGGTGGGACAGACTTTTAAATAGGGGTGGGGTTCTTCTTAAAAAGAGGGGTAGCCTAACAAGTACACTGCTCCAGTGCCACCAGGGACCAGACGAGGGACCTCCCCTGTGGACACTGTAGCGCCCCCCACAGGTCCTCATTACGGCAGGGCACCTTAACAACGCAATCCATCAGCTAGCTGATTGTACGTCCAACCGCCATCCCAAATGGTCACCTGCATAGCATGAATGAGGCTGGTAATGTAAACAGATAGGAAATGCAAAGCCATATATATATATATATATATATATATATATATATATATATATCACTAATGTCATAATCACAAGAAGATATTATTACCTTCTCTATACAGCCATCCTGTTACTGGAGCAGACAAAATATCCCCACCAGGAGGATTCTGGGATTTGCACAGCGGCACCTTCCTTCCTTTTTCTAAATGTGCTACAACAAAATGGCGTCCCCCTGAGCCAAAAGACACCTTCCCCTCTCAGGAAATTTTGTTCTATTCAACTGAACGCCAGCGGTGACACAGTTCCCCTCACCCCGAGTGCTATTCGTCTTTATGCGCTCTGTTAAAACAGACTACACTTTCTGAAAAAAAAGACAAGAAAAAGAACAGCTGCGGGTCTACAAGAAAATGGCCGCCGAGGTTCAGGCTTCCTGTCTCAGTATAGACAAACTGGGATCCTGGCGGCCATTTTGTTGTAGCTCAACGATGAGAGCTCTGGAGAGAGTGCTGTAGTGTATGTGGAGAGTGTGTTCCCAGAGAAGAGGAGGTAATAATGTCTTATTATTATTATTATCATCTTATTATGAGAAAAGGAGGGGTCACCTGGTTGTCTAGGAGGGTGTCGGCACTGCAGTGGGGGCACCGGTATCGGCGTGAGGAGTCGTCGATGGAGCTTCTAAAGAGTAAGGCCAAGAATAGTGGACGGAAAGAGGTCCAAACCGCTTTGGCCTCAGCACCCGGATTTCAGAAACAGCGACACTAGTGGCTCCTTGTGGGGAGCCGTAACTTACTGGTTTTTCAAGTGAGGACAGGTACTCTAAAGTGAGTTTGTGAGGTCCTCCGCCATGTGTCTGGGTTCCTTTCTCCAACTGGTATTGATATACTGCTGGGTCCTGTATCCTCTGCCACATGCCATGGTTCCTTCCTTCAAACTGAGCCCTGTGTTCTCCACCATGGCACAAGGCGGGGGGCACAGCACTCAGGTTGGAGGAAGGAAACATGGCACGAGGCGGGGAACACAGGACTCAGGTTGGAGGAAGGAACCATGGGACGAGGCGGGGAACACAGGACTCAGGTTGGAGGAAGGAACCATGGGACGAGGCGGGGAACACAGGACTCAGGTTGGAGGAAGGAACTATGGCACATGGTGGGGAATGCAGGACTCCGGTTGAAGGAAGGAACCATGGTATGTGGCAGAAGATACAGGACTCAGGTTGGAGGAAGGAAACATGACACGAGGTGGGGAGAACACAGGACACAGGTTGGAGGAAGGAACCATGGGACGAGGTGGGGAACACAGGACTTAGGTTGGAGGAAGAAACTAGGGCACATGGTGGGGAATGCAGGACTCCAGTTGTAGGAAGGAACCATGGTATGTGGCAGAAGATACAGGACTCAGGTTGGAGAAAGAAACTATGGCATGTGGCGGGGGGGGGGGAAGCAGGACTCAGCTGTGATGTAGGGGTTGGGGGAAGAGACCATGGCACGTGGTGCGGAAACACAGGGCTTAGGTTGGTGGAAGGAACCATGGAACCTGGTGGGGACACAGGATTTCGTAGTGACATAAGGATTGGAGGAAGGAACCATGGCACATGGTGGGGAACACAGTGCTCAGCAGTGATATAGGGGTCAGAGGAAGGAACCATGTCACATGGTGGGGGACACATGGCTCTGCAGTAATAATAGGGGTCATAGGAAGGAACCATGGCATTTGGTGGGAACACAGGACTCAGTAGTGACGTAGGACGTGGTGGATAGGATTGTGGTGCATGGTGGGGGGACACGGCTCGGCACTGAAATAGGGGTTGGAGAGAGGAGCCATAGCATGTGGCAGGAAACAGCAGTGAGATAGGAGTCGGAGGAAGGAATCATTAAAAATGGTAAGGGACACAGGACTTAGCAGTGAAGGAGGGGTTAGAGGAAGAAACCATGGCACATGGTGGAGGACACAGGACTCAGCAGTGACAAAGGGGTCAGAGAATGAAACCATAGCACATGGTGGAGGACAAAGGACTTAGCAGTGAAGTAGGGATCAGAGGGAGTAAAACACAAGAGGGGTACACTAAACTCAGCAGTGCCGTAAGGGTCTGAGGATGAAATCATTGGATGTGGTAGGGGCCACAAGGCTTAGCAGGACTCAGTAGTGTCATACCTCTTCTCCTGCAGGGAACGGGCCATGGGAATTTTTTAAAGTTTCTACACTTTACTTTAGAAGCACTTTTCCATCTGAAGGGTGGGTGGATTCCAAACACAGTTTCCTGCCAGGTGGGCATATGCCAGCATCTCGGAGGACATTGTAGATGCCACTGACTTCATTTTCCTACTGGTGAAATAGGAGTTGTAGTCATTTCTCCGTAGGGAGTCAGAATGGCGTACCCCGTTCCAGGAATGTTTAGCAACAAGTAAAAGCTGAAATTGGTGTGGAGGAGTTTACGAGAAAAATGTT